CATCAGCACCTATACCATCATAAGTCGGTGGATATGAACAATCTGTCATTGTTAGAATCAAACAAGAAAACACACAAGTATGTATTTTCCTATGAACTACTATAGGATGTGGTCAACAAGTAAAGTCACACACTCTCAAGCATCTTACCACGGTCTTATAAGTGTTCTTACCAAAGCAACAGGCGGTGCAATCAGTCGGTGACTGTGATACCATTGTAGCTTGAGTGTAACAGTTGCAAGGCGAACCTATACGTAGTTAGAAGAAAGTGGAGCTTGGACAGGCATAATATAGTAGCAAGGAATAACAAAATTCGCAACTGAATGGCAAAGCTGAATAAGTATCCCAAGTAATTGTCTTAGTTGCTGGCCTACTCACGTTCCAAGTACCAGATGTATCAAGTGATGAGAACAGCAGGAATATGATTAGGAACAAGACAAAAATCAGCACACGCAAACACAGCTCAAATGACATTCTCTATGTGCTCCTCTAGATATTGTTCCACTTTTGCCCCTCTCTTTTTTCCCTTTTTTTGGGCTGTCGTTGTTTTTTTGGGAAATTTTGACTTTTTCTTTTTATTTTTTTTTTATTTTTTTCCTTTACTTAGGAGCACAAAAGAAGTAACCACAGAAAATATGAGCTTAAACAAGTGAAAGGCGGGGCCTGTGGAAAATTTAGAAAACGTACTCAAAATCGACAAAAAGCTTGTGACCACGAAAAGATGATCTTGTGACCAGTTTTTGACCAAACTAAAAATTTCCGACCCCGTTTAGATGGGGGATGGACGGATCCGAATTTTTTTTGATCAATTTTGATATATGGAACGTCAAAATCCGAGTTCATATGCGAAAACTAGACCAGTTTTAAGAACGGACTCTGAATTAGAGGACAAAACGGGAACAATGCGCGTAAAATTGGTCACAGCAGCAAGGATTTGATGGAAACAGTGAAGACAAGTGTAGCAAATTAGATGGCGTGGACTAGGGTTTGATGGATACAAAGGAAACACTGCAAGACTTGAAGGTGTTCACGGATTATGATGAAAAACAAAGGGAAAAACACAAACTGGACTAAAAAACGATCTAAAACCAGCAACCAGAACTTGCCCTAGGACACGAACTCAACAACGCAAAATAGAGACGAAATTGCATGGCACAACGAGGCTATAGGACAGGGAATATATGGCGGTGTATATTTTTTTTTGGCTTTTTGTGTACTATAGGTAATGCAAACACAGTAACAATCTAAAGAGGAAAACAAAGTTATACCTAACGGGCAACAAGGTCTCTGATACCACTTGATGTAGACAAGGCCCGATCTTCCAAAAGGTATGATAGCGTCAATTGGTGGAGACTCGACATTCACTATCTAGGCTTCGAACCAAGATTGATTCGGACCCCCGCAATCGTTACACCACTGCTCCGTTGGTTATCAACAACGCGAATGCGATTGACCTCGTCGAGAAGGCTTTTCTGCAAGCGAATTGAGAACACAAGCAAGAACGGGATAAACGCAATCTAAAATTGCAAATAAATATGAGGCTTATGATAACAAGGAGTTCAAGTCTTTATTCGAAAGGACTAATCACCACAGGCAAACAAGATCAAGAACTGGGGCCCTGGTTCACAGCAAGCGGCCTTGGCGACGACAGTTGCAACAAAACGATGTCTGTTTCACGAGGAAACCAAGAACTAAACAAAACCCAAACCCTAAGGAGAGCGATGGATGCTATTTATAGTGTCTTGGGCGTCACCCCCTGGACTCGCCCCCTAATGGGCCCAAACATGATACATGGTCCAACAGACCAAAAACTGGTGTCGCAGCACCCTGGCAGATTCTGGATGCTTACTTGTTTCGACGATTCCCGTTGATTCCGAAGAGCTTTTGATGTGAGACCACTTGGATTATCTTCCTTACCAAATTAGCTTTCCATCCATATGTGGATCATCGAAAATGGAGTCCGGATGCGTCCTGGGTGACCAGTTTAAGGCAGACTGGTCCTAGAGGCCGAGGCAGACTCGAACTTGAGTTGCTTTGGGCCTCCACCTCGGAGACTTGAACCGAATTAGCTTCGGGTCTCCTTCTCGGTTAGGACACCCTCGCTGATCTCCTTGGTCTGCATATGGTTCTCCAAGCACGGTCATATGTATGGAGGTCATGTCCTCATCAGTTAGGGTTTGAGATCCTTTTCAAAACCGACACCCTTTCTGACTTCTTTTCTTCACCCGATTTGGGTTTAGGGTTCAATGAACCCACTGTTTAGATCCAAAAATGAATCTATCACCTCCTTCTAAATGCTGCTATTCGGTTTTCTACTCCGATAAGCTAGATCTACGTCTAGTTAGGTGACTAATACCATTGATAGAAGTATAACAGGATCACTAGCCATAGATCTAGCATGTTTACTTGTATTTGGAGTAAACAACGAGTCCTAGAACATCTACTAGTATGGGATTAATAGATAGAGTGAGAGGGAGATGGGTGGAAGAAGTGCAAACCATCGGCCGCCTTCGAGGAAGACGGGCTGACCATCGCGGCGCTTGGTGAAGACTCGGTGTAGGTGCTGTGTCGAAGGGCGATAGTGCAGTGGCTGCGTTGGCCAGTGGCGGTGCTTCTAGTCATTGGCTGCGCACCCTCTCTTAGATCGGATTAGGGTTGCGTTGGTGGGGCAACTGTAGCTCGTTCAACCTCGTGATCTGAGCCGCCAGCCCTCACCTTTCTTTTATAGCGTAGTGTGATGGGGGCCCACCAACCATGTAGGGTTGGACGCCCCCGATCAGGGCGTGGATCCAAGTTCAATTGGATAGAGATCAACTAACAGATGTCACTATGGTACTAGCACTTAGTAGTTGAATTAAGTCACTTTTCTCGTTGAGAGTGGTGCCCCGGTCTGAACACTCCTTTTTCCCTGTCTGAATCAGGTGTTGGTAACGTTCCATCTGCATTTAAATAGTGCGTGTATCTGAAGGAAATGTTGATGTATGCTTTTGGAATATGAAGGGGAAACCCACTATGTGTACTCAAGATCAGCTTTCTGTCTATTCTTTTTGCTTTTGAACCGACCTGTTTAGATTATGTTTTTTTTGGAATTCTGGAATTCGAATTTGGAAGGAAATCTGTGTGAGACTAATGTCTATAAAAAAAACTATACTGTGAGAAAAAAGAGTCAAAATATAATTCGTAATGGTTACCAAACAAAAGAATTTGGAACTGGAATTGATGAGAATAAATTTATATTCTAGTAAAACAATAACTGAAGCCCAATTTCAACACTCAAATGCGCGTCAGTTTTTTTTATTATTTTGGATAGGAAATGCTGTATAGTCGCTCAAAACAAATGAGGGCAAAATTCTGAAATTGGAAGAAATTGTTAGGCCAGTTGTAAGCTTCATCATTTTGGCCCAAACTTCCAATACGTGATATCTCTACGGAAAAAATCCACATTACCTCCCTCAACTTTTGTGAAAGTCTGTTTTTTCTTCCTAAACTCTAAAACCAGGCAAAACACCTCCCTCAACTTTTAAAACCGTTCATCTTTCCTCCCTGACCCGGTTATAAGCGGTTTTGAAAGCGGTTTTGTCTTTTTATTTATTTATTTTGGCTGAATCTTTGAAAAATCATAGTAAATCACAGAAAAATCATAAAATAGTAAATCCAATTTTATTGGACTCAACATGAGTAGATCTACAGAGTGAATATATAATATGGTATGCTTTAGTACAAAGTTTTTGTTGTAGCTTTAGATCTATGATTTTCTGTAATTAAATGGAATAATTTATAGCTACAGTTCTATGGTCCAATTGTGGTGAAATTTTTATGGTGGACTAATTATTGTATGCTGAAACTGTAGTAAAAATTTCATACTCATTGGATCATGTATAACTTAGTTATAGATTTTATTTAGGTTTATGCTTGTTAAATATAAATAAATCTATAACTAAGCTATACGTGATCCAATGAGTATGAAGCTTTTACTACAGTTCAATCATACAATAATTAGCCCACCATAAAAATTTCATCACAATTGGACCATAGACACTACAGCTATGAATTATTCCAAATAATTACAGAAAAATATATATCTAAAGCCACAACAAAAACTTTGTACTAAAGCTTACCATATTATATGTTCACTATGTAGATCTACTCATGTGGAGTACAAAAAAATTGGATTTTCTATTTTATGATTTTTCTATGATTTATTATGATTTTTCAAATATTCAGCCGAAATAAAAAAAAAAGACAAAACCTACTTCAAAACTGCTTATAAGAGGGGTCAGGGAGGTAAGATGAACGGTTTTAAAAGTTGAGGGAGGTGTTTTGCCTGATTTTGGAGTTCAGGAAGGAAAAGCGAACTTTCGTGAAAGTAGAGGGAGGTAATGTGGACTTTTTCCTATCTCTACCGCCCTGGCTCACAAGGCCCAATTTTGGCACATAAAAGAGCGTAGAGCAGAGGCGAGCGGAACTAGGAAGCGGTAGAGTAGGAACTAGGAAGACGAGAAAGGGAAAGCAATCTCGCCGCTGCCGGCAAAGGCGCCGGCACTCACTCTAAGAAGTTGCACATTGCCGGCTCTTCCTATGGGCAGCTGATTTGTGGCCGCGGCAGAAATTGCCTTATCGTGGGTGTGTTCACTAGTGCCACAGTTTTACCTCCACACCTCCCATTTGGTGACAACACTTATTTCTACTCTGGCATGCTGACAGCTCCCGTCGCATCACCAAACTCACACCTCCTACTTTGCGCATCATCGAAACATGGCGGTCAGTGCTTCCTGCTTGATTGGCTGATTGGAAGTGATTCTTGGTCAAAACTTCGGCTCGATGATCCACGGATTGAGCAGATTGTGGAGTTCAATGGCCAGTTCATCGCAATGGACTACTACTACAAGCTATACAATCTGTCCTTGCCCCTCAGCTTGGTCTGCAGGAGATAGCAACTGCGTGGTGGGATGGCGAGGATGCATGCCCATATCTAAGGCCATGAATCGTGGTGTGTGGTGACATGCTCCTGATGGTCGACCATTGCATAACCCTTTCGTTAGCTGGAGCACCTGTCGAGTACAAAGCCTATCGCCTCGACATGTCAACTGTGCCTGCAGCTTGGGTGGAGGTGAAGAAGCTAGAGAATTACTCGCTTTTTATTGGGTGCGATGTGAGGAGCCCTGCGTTTTCTTGCGCCAGCTTAGGACGATGGAGCGGGAGGAGTAACTGCTTGTACTACGGGTATTACGATCCACCCTTGGTGTTGCATGGGCTTGGAGATGATGTGGATGCTGTGTGGAATCCAGACAACGATGATTACCTTGAGTTCAAGAGGAACTGGTACACCCAACTGCAGGTCTTCTGGGTGTACCCAAGTATGCTCTATCGCTGATGGCAAGTGATGGATGAACTCCATCAGCTTGTACTGAAACTTCACCTCAAATTTCCTTAGCGAACATAAGCTCGCATTTACAATGGATAATGTCCATTATGGTAGATGAGAGTTCTTAGACTGGGAGCTTCCATTCAGTTTTTTTTTGATAAGTCTGGGGGGAGGAGGGGGGAGAATCCCCCACCTGATTGATTTGATTAATTAATAGTGGCTCTGAATTAGCCTGAGAGTTTACAAATCGGGTTCTCTTTCCATTCAGTTATCAGTTGTGTCCCGTTGCTACTTGTTATCTTTTGTCCTTTGTTTGCTATATGCTACGCAATCTATTTGTCTAAAGGTAAAATAAAGGTTGTCGTATGCACACTGGTCATGAAGCAGAAATCCAAATGTGTATAAGTATTGTCTTCAGCCACTTTCCACTACTACAGAATCGATTTTTAGGGGCGGCTCGTAACTATTTGTAGGGGCGGTTTGGCTAGCCGCCCCTACCGAACCATCTCTACAAATCATGCATTTGTAGAGGCGGTTCCCAGGCCGCCCTACAAATCAATTTGTAGGGGCGGCTCGTATTTGTATTACTAGCCGCTCCTACAAATCGATTTGTAGGGGCGGCTCGTATTACCAGCCGCCCCTACAAATCGATCTGTAGGGGCGGCTGTAGTACCAGCCGCCCCTACAAACAAGTATTTGTAGGGGCGGTTCAATCTAGAACCGCCCCTACAGTACGTTTTCCCGCAAAAAAAATTCAAAATTACAATTCAAAATCTCGTTGCCGAACGTCCCGCGACCAACGTTCCGAACCGCGTTCGCGTTGCCGAACGTCCCACGACCAACGTTTCGAACCGCGTTCGCGTTGCCGAACGCCCCACGACCGCGACTACAATTACAAGTCTAATTCACAAGAATATTCTATAAACTACAATTACAAGTCCAATTCACAAGAATATATACAATCCATCATTAAATATACAAATTCCATACACATTGTTATCAACGTCCTAGAGCTAGCCTTTCAGTCTCACGAAGGTGTTGGTACTGAGGATTTGTACCAAACTCAGACTCTCGGTCATGGTAGGCGCCTCTGATGTGTACAATCTGGTCCAATATGAAGTTGCAAAGGTCGCCGACGAGCTCTAAGAGTTGGTCATCCGTGTATGGGTCTCTTTTCATTCCTTTCTCTTCTCACCACTACAAGAGAACAAGTTTCGGTTTAGTATTTCATACCATGTATGAAGTTTTTATACTACGGGTGAAGATGTTCAAACTTACCCTTAAGGGGTGTCTCCTGTAGGCACTGGTGTTACTCATCATAAAACATATATAGTATCCACAATGTACACTCCCAGGCTTCTGCTTGGGGCACTGTGTGTTTTGCATATGAAATGTTAAGTAATGCTTATGACAGTCATGTAACGGAGTACTGAAGAAGTAAGTTGCACTTACCGCACATAGTGTTTTTATAGCCAGCTTTTCCTTCCTTGCTGAATCATGCCTTCCATGATGATTAGTGACATAGAACCTAAATGCCTTGTTCGAATTATTTTAGCAAATACAACTTGTTAGTATCCAAAAGTGAACGTTACAAGTATGTATACAAACATTTAAACTAATGAGGATTGTCGATATGTATACGTCTTGAGAATCGATATGAAGTCTTTGTATGTCACCGTGCCCCTATCTAATGAATCAAAGACCCATGCCATGCTCCTCCCGACATCGACGGCTATACAAATCCAGTGGTTGCTGCATGGATTTAATCATAGAACTAGATAAGCTCTTTTGCATCGAATAAAATATATCGAACAAAGCTTTAAGTATAGAGTTGAACTTACTCGAAGTTATATGGTAGCCATATAGTAGAGTGTTGTTGGAGATTTTTGAAAGCCAGGGCAATGTATGCCGCAACCTTAAGGGACTCTTCCCTTAGTTTCGCCGTACGGATGAGCTCTTTCTCCCGAAGAGTCTTTGCAGCAGCTAGCTCTTTGGCATCCAGTGTCCACCGTTTAGGGTAATTAAAATTTGTTTGGGCTATAGCTTGAGGGTCTACATACCCGACTTTCACACTTGGTATTTATTTGACAATGTGCACTTGCATTCTACAAATCACGGCGTGGGTTAGTTACAACAAAATTCAAAGATTACATTCATATCATATCGGGAGGACAAGGACTTGCAGGCACCACGTGCGAATTAGATTCATCTCCATTTCTCCCAGGTGAAAGCATGTTTGCATGTCATTGAAGTCAAAGACAATTTTTCCGGCTGGGCTTCCAAATTTGTCGGTGGGGAAGCATGCTTGTATAAGATCTATGCTCATTGGGAGAACACGCAAGTACGAATCATGGAACCTTCTCATTCGAAGTGGTAGGTGCTGGATGTCCTGGTTTGGTAGGAAGGGCTTGCCTCTTTCATATGTTTTCGGGCAATCCTTTGATCATTTGATGGCATCAACATTTGGATACTACTTTGCAATTTGGTGGAGTTTGCTAGTGACGGCCTCCTTAGAACCCTGTGATGGGACTTTTTTAACTTTGTTCTTAGGCTTGAACTGGTCATGGGAAAACCACTTGGACACCGACGAGACGTCTTTGATCGGAACATAAACTGGCCTTATGGTGATTAGATGCTTCTTTCGAAGTTCCCATTCAGGCACGTCCTTATCTTCTTGTGCATCACCTTCAAGAGGCACTCGTTGTTCATGTATCGGTTGTGCTTGTTGAGAAGACTGTGGCATCTCATCATGCACTTGCTCGGTACGAGTTGGAGAAGGTTGTGGCATCACATTAGGCACATGCTTGCTAGGAGGCAGGGAAGAATGTGGCATCTCAGGAATGTGGTCACGAGACGGTGAAAATATCTCCCCGACCTCAACAACTCGCTCCAAATTTGGGAGAGGGGGAGGCGGCGAAGAAGCAGTCAATATAATGTCCCATTTGTGCTAGAGGATGAACTACCCCATAACGTCTCTGAGTAACACCAGCCCCTCGGGAGTTGTGTAGTCTATCCGCCACTACATGAACTCGGGATTCACTGTATGCACCTCGACCCTAGTGTAGTCCGGCGGTATCTTATTATTGTGGTGTAAGCCACCGGGAGGATGTGCCACACCCGTTGCCACCTCCATCACAGTGTTCTGTCGGCCGTTGAGAAACACCAAGGTGCAACTAGTTGGTTCCCATATGCGATCGACGCGGGTTGTGGCTGCAGTGGAACCTTGGCCGCTAGGAACTTTTGGAGGGCTGTCAACTAATGCCAGTTCACCCGGTGGGGTCCCTAATATCCGTGGCTCCGTAGATAGTCCTTGCTCCTCCAGTGCCTTCGCAACTAGAGCCTTCACTTGGAGCTCAAGACTAGTCTCCCGGTTTCTGCCATGTTTCTTGTACATGTGCCTGTCCTCTTCGAATCCTTGCTTCCAGGTCGTCCTTTTCCCTAGCCCCCTGGTGCGGCCTGTGTGCTCCTTGTTTCCCAAGCCAAGGCTAAGGTCGTCTCTCTCTGGAAGGATTGAATGAGCCCTTCTCCTTGTCTTTAGCATATTTCAGTATCCTTGATACTGCCTCTTGGGTCTCCGGCTTATCAAACTTAAGATTACCGCTGGATGATTCAGTACTCCTCGCATATATCTAGTTCCTTGAGCGTACCTTCAAATTCGTCACATCAATATTCCCAGCAGTTGCGGCCTCTTCGTCCATCTTCCTAAACTGCTCTTCCTTGGCATAGTAGCCACCGAGGCCTAGATGATGATGGTGTTTGTTCCTCTTCGCCGGCTCGGTGTTATGGGCACTGAGCTCCAATGCCTCCGATGAAGTCTTCTGAGCCACGAGCTCCTCCCATTGACTAGGAGTTATTTTGCCGAACTCGTTGAAGGGAGTTAACCCCTTTTGGATATACTTTGTGTTGAGCTCCGACCTCCAACATCGGAATGACTCTCCCATCACCCTGAAAGCATTTTTTTACCAGTTCGTGCTTACCCTCTGGAAATCTAAAATTGAGCTTCTGCTGCCTATCCCATAGTGCATTCTTTGTGTTCTCTAGTACCTCTTTCCAGATAGGGATTGCTAGGTTCAATTTATCTCTTACAAGGGCCCCGATCGCATTACGGAATCGTCCGCTTAATTCCTTCAGCTCAAGGATCTCCCCTGCTGTCCCGACCACCATTATCACATAGCAGGGGGAGAGGTCGGACAGCCCTTTTCAACACCATACACAGTCTTCTTCGATGCATTTGTCACCCTTTCCAAATTTTCTAGACCTTTCGGGCTATTCAGTAAAATCTCTGGTCCAAGGGCTCAAATCATGTCCTCCAAATCATCTTCATCCCCGACACGTGCTCCACCATCATTATTGGCACCACCTTCATCGTTACCATCCCAACCACCAGCATCACCACCTTGTTCATTGCCAAACTCGAAATCCAATCGTGCATCAAGCTCTGCTGAATATTGGGATATGGATTCTATGGTTTCGTCGTCGTATTCGTTCTCATCCTCGTCGTTAACAATAACCGTTTCACCATGATGAATCCACACTGTGTAGTCATCAACAAATCCTCGCATAATCAAATGTGATCTGATGATAGTCACATCTGTCCATGCCATACGGTTCTTGCAATCTTTACATGGGCAAATAATTGTATCCTTATTCTCTTTCAATGTCGTTGCATGCTTCTTTGCGGCTTCAATAAATTTATCCACCTCTTCACGAAAACATGCCTTGAACCTTAACGAACCATACATCCAAGAGTTCCTGTACTCCATCTTTACAACAACAACAAAACAAACATTAAAGAACTACTTATTCAGATATATATAAAAATGAAACAAATTAATAATTACTTGAGAATAATTGTATATACTTCAGATATATATGAATATAAATCTAATATAATTACATGAAGCATACAAACACACCATGGTAAAGGAAAATTAATTAATGGCCCATTTATCCATAAATAATTAAAATACATATTTATTGATTACAATAAACAATTTCAAAGACAATAA